TTTAGTTTGCTTTGTTTGTTTGTTTTCTTTCTGGCAAGATAGTGACCAGAAAACGTCCTAATAGGCTTTTTGGCGTTTATGGCAAAATTTTAGAGGCGAATGGGTCAAAATAATTAAACAGCGACGGGCCAAAAAAAAAAAAATAATGATAATAACTATAATGATAATATAATAATAATACGATATCCCTCAATACCTCCTCTGATTAAAATTAGCTTGACAGAACTTGAATTGTAAAGCGTTGAAGTCAACTTAAAATTTTGCCATAGAACGCCGTAAAGCTTTCCGTGACGTTTTAAAAACAGGACAAACTTGAAACAAGAAAAAAAATTAAATTATTAATAACGGTATCGAATAAAGCCGTTAGAAGAGATTCTAAAATCCAGTGAAAAATGAATTTCGTTGTCGATATATAGATGCGAGTTTCAGTCAAGTTCTACGTTTTTTAATTTCCTTAAAGGAGACTGTATTTAGACGTATTTACAGCAGATAGATTCGCTTTTTGTTCATTCTTTTTTTTTCGTTCATATGTTTAGGGAGGTGACAGTACATACGAGGAAATGTGTTTGGACTTCTTACTTTACTATCCTCGTGTTAAAGGCCTCAAATGGTGTGACACTACCTTATTTGAACCTTCGTGGCAACTGGTCGACAAACTATAGTAAGTATATCTATATTTCACTAGTCTCGCTTGCGTAAGCAGCAAGACTCATAATCTGCAAAGCGTTTTTCGCTTGGGGGAGAGGAGGGAGGGGGGGGGGCCTCCCTTATATAGGCTGTATAGGTATGTGCGGCGCCAAAGGGTATGTTTTTTTAGCCGTTTTGGTCTGAAATAGGGTATCAGTTTTGACCATTTTGGCCTTAAATAGGGTGTGGTTTGTGTCTTAAGAAGAAGCTACTTCTTCATCATGTGGCGACAAGACCATTTCTCTTTTAATGTTTACGCCAACCGTGTACGTGCCGTAACAGCTTGTCACGCGCTCAGGTCGCGCGCCGGGCTCCAGGGCTTCAGGTCTGAAATAGGGTATCAAATTTTTGATCAGATCTGAAATAGGCTAGGGTAGGGAAAATCACAGATTTTGGTCTGAAATAGGGTAAGGATTTCAGGAAACGTGCCGCATATCCCCAACCCAATTTTTCTGGAAGTTCTTCCCTGGGGTTTTTCGTCTTATTTCATACTCAAATGGGGCATCATTGTGCCAGGCGTTCCTTGCGGAGACCGTGGAAACTGGGACTAAGAATCGTTGCGTGATCTAAGCCATGCATGTTTTGCGAAGAAAGCTTTGTAGGAAAGATTAAATTCTATTATTTGAAAGCGTTGATTACTCTGGAACAAGTGAACACTACTGAGTGGTCGAAAAAAAAACAAAAAACAATCTTAATTAGCAAAACGGCGATGGTCGGGTGTTGTAAACTCTCATTGTATGCAAATGATCTTGTGATGAGCATGCGGCTTATTTTCGGCAATAATTGAAATGACGTGCCATGTAAATCATTTTTTTTGATCTCTGGCAATAATATAATTTCTCTGGAATTTCCCTTGAATGCTTACACGCGTACTAAATCAACTCAGAAGCAAGTAAAAAGTATCGACGTCAATAAAGTAGGAAGTGAAAAATCTTTAGCGAGTAAATCCTGTTTCTTGTAGAATTAATCGCCTTCTCATTTCTAGATCTAATCTTTAAGCAAGCGAGACGGGAAGCTGCTGTAAGCGCGTTTTTGTTGAATTCATAATCTCGAATAAATTATTTCTGGCCAGTTCTCATTGGTTCACTGGGTCTCGGTTATCAGTCTCTTGCCGACGTCTGACCCGATGTGGAAAATTAGCGCAACAGCGGGAGTGATGAAGTCGGACCGTCCTACAGAGTGAATCCTGCACAGTTACAGACGACTTTTCTAAAATTAAGTAAAATTCGGCAAGACTAACTAACTAACTAACTAACTAATTAACTAACTAACTAACTAACTAACTGACTGACTGACTGACTGACTGACTGACTGACTGACTAAACGACTTACTAACCAACAATTGAACGAGCTTATATCTAAGCCACCTATCTAACAAATGACTTATAATAATTAACCAAACACTAAAGAAATAATGTAAAACTTCATAGCCTTTTTTTGAAGTCTTTTGCCATATATATTAGTTCCTAAAAAAAACTTTACTGAGGCAAAGGCCTCCTAATTTACTTTGCCAGTATTACTTGTAATATTATTAATAATAATAATAATAAATAAATAAGTAAAATAATACATAAATAAATAAAAATGATATAAATAATAATAATAATAATAATAATATTAATAATAATGATAGTAACAATAAAAATTAATTATTTATGTAGTTGATTTTTAGGTTTGTGTTACCTTAATGATCTAAAGATATCGTTCTTTTGTATTTGTTAAACAACACCAACGACAACAAAAACAAAAAGTCCAGAGGCAGACCGTTCTGAACATTTATACGATACACCTCTTGTATATATGGACATTAATTGGAAGGATGCAGAATTGGCGAATGACCTCAGAAAGTACGAAAGAGAGCTTGATACCTTGATCCCCGGGTGTTGGCGTAGAAAAAAAACCAGCTTGGCGGTGAGTATCGATTGACTAACTTGCTCTCGTTATGGATCTGAAAGTGAGGGGGTACCTTGATAACGCACTTGTTTAGAGCAGTCATCTAAGGCTAAACAAACAAACAAACGAACAAACTTATAAAGTTTTCGTACCATCGGAAGCTATGCTACATTGGATATTGGATAGCTCTTGCGCTGGCTCGAAAACCATATCGGATGAGGGTGTTTTGCACACGTATATCAGCGGTGTTTTCGAAGCGGTTTCTATAACGGAACGGAACGTAACTGCTCCGAGCCGATCTATCGTTACTTATCCTTGGTGACAGTGACGGCAGGTGTTCATGCCGGGCTAGAGTAGTATTCATGTGGACATGGTAAGCTATCCGGTATACATCAGAAAAATGTGAGGAACATCTTTTATGAATAAACCTTGTTTCTACAATAAAAGAGGTTTTTTGCGCGTTACCAGTGCTTTAGAGGAAATCCGCTGAAGTACATTCTCCTGAGAGAAAGAAAGAGAGAGATGATCCAGAGTTGTTGTTTTTTTAAAATTATTTATTTATTATTTATAATAATAGGGAGGAAGAAGACGTCCAGAGAGTATTTTTAAAGAAGAGGCGTTGACAATTGCAAATGGAAAGGAATCTTAAGCCTTTTCCTCTGTCCCGGTCCCAAACTGGGATATCATCAAAGCACAATTAAATTCCTTTCAGTTGCTTCCTTCCGAGTTTTTTTTTTTTATATATTTTTATGTATATATATTTTTTCAGGACATTAAAGGTCCCCATGCAAGGCTCAGAGTGCCGATACCTAAAATCACGGAACCACTACCCCCTGGGAAGACGTGTCCTGTTGAGACATCTGGTGCTGGCATGACCCTCTCCTGCGCCTCCTATTTTGTTGTCATCCTGTGTGTAGTGTTTACTAAGCTCTACTTTGATTAAAGTGATACAATAAAACAAAGCTCGGTATACTTCAGTATGCTTGGCAAACTTTATATCTAGCAAAATCTACCTTCTTCCTGGCTCAACTTAGAATACTTTAACATTTTTCAGAGGTGAAATCAGTGCACGAATACGAATTATTTTAGAATATATTAACTTTAAGAAGTTTAGTGTTTCTTTAGCTCTAACTTGATTGAAGTCATTGACGTCGTTGTATAAGCTTAGCATACTTCAAGTCTAAAAATATTTCTGACTGAGTCAACTTGAAGGACTTAACACTTTTCAGAGGTGAAATCAGTGCAAAAGCACGAACTTTTTTCAGTTTCTGCCATCTTTGAGAAGTCTATAGTGATTCCTATACTCTACTTTGATTGAAGTCTTAAAATAAAACAAAGGCTCAAGATCTGTATACTTTATAACAATATCTCTGACTGTGTTATTTTAGAGTACTTTAACACTTTTCACCTTTCTTTTCACTTTTTATATCAACTAAAAAAGAGCTTAAAAGTTCTTATGACCTTCAAGTACGATGGCAGCGAGAAATATGAACAAAACAAGGATCAATTTTTGTTTCTGGGCAACCGAGCACGGTTTCTTATAACTGTACCGGTTTTTTTAGATAGGGCGCGACATTAATAAAACGGACCCGGTATCTTTCATACCCCCAAAACTTTGTGTCCAACGACCCCGTTAACTAGTCAACAATCCCGTACCCGGTAAACAGACCACATTAACCTACCCCTTCATCTTTTCTAGAAACTGGACCCTGCTTCAATACCGAGCCCGTCATCAACTTTAAGTTCCGGACCCGCCTTATAACCGTCTCCCGATGTGACGATCCATCGGGCCCAGCTTCATTTCGTTAGTTAGTGGGACCCCGATAACTTTCGTGTTNCCCCCCCCCCCGAGTTGATCTGCCGTTTTCTAATACAATTGGTATTCTGCAAAAAAAAAAAAAACTATGTGGTTTATTGGTGTTGAAGTAGAGCAAGAGACGGGTGCACCCCCTCCTAAAAAAAATCCTGGATCCGCCCCTGCGTGTATATATTAGCTTAGTATACTTCATGTCTAAAAATATTTCTGACTGAGTCATCTTAAAGTACTTAACACTTTTCAGAGGTGAAATCAGTGCAAAAGCACGAACTTTTTTGAGTTTATGCCATTTTTGCGAAGTCTTATAATAGTTGCCAATAGTGTTTCTTATACTCTACTTTGATTGAAGTCTTGAAATAAAACAAAGGCTCAAGATCTGTATACTTTATAACAATATCTCTGACTGCGTTATTTTAGAGTACTTTAGCACTTTTCACCTTTCTTTTCACTTTTTATATCAACTAAGAAAAGAATTTAAAAGTTCTTATGACCTTCAAGTACGATGGCAGCGACAAATTTGAACAAAACAATAAATCACAAAGTTTGGTTCGTCTCATAAAAAATTTCGACGTTTGGCCTAGGACTGAGTAAAATAAATGGTACCCATATATATATAGCTGCCCAGTGTCCCTCCCAACTTCCCCTTTTCACATTCTTTTCTTTCCTCTGCAAGTTTTGACAACTTCGATGGCTAATCCATGTTAGTAAAATCCAGCTGGAGGTCTATTATCAATGCTGCGTTCTGATTGGTTGAGCTACTACTAGGCTATATGTTATAGCCCACTAGTAGCGAAAAGCGCCGGCTTTTTGGCGGCAAAAAAAAGGATTAAAGTCTAGCTTTAACTGGCTAAAGTTGTTTTGTCTCGATATTTTTATGAACACATGAAAATCATATATGAGAACTGCGGGGTGAAGAATTATATGAAAGAAGATCATCGCAGTTATAGACGCAACCTTTGCAGTTGCGAAAAGAAAAACTGAAGAAAATTAAAGCTTGTATGGGATTCGAACCCTTGAACTCTGCGATACCCCGTTGAATTGGCTCCTATTAACCCTCGGACGTAACCCTCTGTCAGGTTTTCCTTGGTTTTTTCCTAGAGGATAAAACGTCACCACCTGACGTTTTCAGTAGCTTTTTGTTTATACCTCGCGCACATTTTGAGACAACTTCAGTGATGGTCAGTTTCTATGGTTACCAGATATGACGTCATAAGTAGCAGGTGGTTAAGCCATTTTTGAGTGAAAGTACATGATTTTTCAATTTCTTTCAACAATAAAAGTAAATCTTGTGTCTAAAATCAGGCAAAGTGCTTATTTATGAGTTATTTTGGATGTAAAGCACAAAAAATACCATTTCTCGCTGTTTTAAAGGGGCTGTGTCACGGCATGTCCAGTTCATTTTGTTTAATTTTGTAATTACTCTCCCTCAATCGCTTGTGAACTTAAAGTAAGCAAAGAAATAACATGTAAATGACAAAATCAGAGGCCCGAGACAAACAAATATGTCTCCTGAACATTATTCTTGAAGTTGCAAACAGCAGGGATTAACTTTGAAAAACTGTTAGGCTGAACAGTTTTCAAAAATCCTAATTTCAATCCGTTTCAATCTTCTGCAGTTTTGCCCATCCGTGACATCTGTTGTTTCTGTTATGTTATTTTAACCTTCCTTTAAAGTGTTAAGCGGTTATTTTTATGTTTCTCTTAATTTAACGGGGATTTTGTAACTTCCTAATTTGGCTGAATTTCGTGACACAGCTCCTTTAACAAGAAATGCGCATTATTTTTTGGTTGCCTTGGTTTTAGTAGAGCTTTTTTTTGGTAATCAAAACAATCTGAAGATTTGTGGTAGTACCCTCGTATCCCGGCCGCGTATTTCTTAGAATGCGCGCAGTCTCTCTTTTCAGTCTTCAGATTTCGTGAGGAGAGTGCACGCGCCTTCCGTCACGCGCGTTTTGCTCGACGGACTAAGAAAAAAGAGTGGCTGCTCGTACTCTGTGTCTTTCTGCGAACAAAATACAAGCAAACTTGCTTTGCGGCTATTTTAATCCAAACCGCAGTTTAAGAACACTTTCCGGCTCAGCAATAGCCACTCTGTTTCCCATATGTTACTTATCACAACTGAAACACTTAGATATGAACGCGATTATCTCAGGAAAAGCCAAAACCATCGAGACTCTGGGAATTAACAACGGTGACGAACTATAATGATTAGGTAGTCTTTATCTGTTTCTTAGCAGCTACACCTTACCACACGTCATACTATGTAACGTCCGTTTATTATCATTTACAGCAATATATATTCTGTATATTCGTGTTTTTTCCTAATAAACTTGATGAAGACTGGTATTAGCCAGTCGAAATATTGCGATATACGTCAGCCTTTTTCCCGTCGTCGGATCAGTCCATGTTTGCAGTAGTCTTTTTAACTTTAATTCTGTTTTTGCTGTTTCAATGTTACGCATTACATTTAGTATCTGGAAATTTGTACTCGGAAATTCGGCATGGGACTTTTTGGGGGTTAATTTTTGGTGCAGGGATTTTTTTTAGGTATTATTGGAAGCCCTACGGATGTTTTTGGATTACCGTGGGTAATAGGTATCTCCCCACCCTCTTTCCCCCCAAAAATAGAGTAACAAATAAAATGTATCAGATGTCTTTTCTCAAAATGCACGTGGTGCGTATTACGGCGTGTCAGTCTACAGGATCAGCAGAGCAAGCAAGATGGCTGGTCCACTTTGGTTTCTTTTTTATCTCACAGCCTTTTATTACACCGCTTCCGCAGATCTACGCACGGAATACGCTCACTATGCTGTTTTAGACGGAGAGGAGAAGATGAAGCTGTTTTGGACCGTTGATTGGGACGCTGAAACTGTTTCTTTTGCTTTGGAGGCGGCGACCACTGGATGGGTTGGATTTGGGTTCTCCACTGGTTCTGGGCAAATGGTTGACAGTGATGTTGTAATCGGATGGGTCAAAGATAACCAGGGTTATCTAACGGTAAGGATACTGTTAATTACGTTGGTGTTGTCAAAACATTGTTGTTTTGCCGCGGCATTCAGGAGAACGTCAATCCTGTTTGGTTCACGTGGGCTTCATAAAGTACAATTCGATTGCGGAGGACGTAATCCCCTCAAAAACGCAAAACAAAACTTATAGAACAAAAGCAATACATTTTGATTGAGAGCGATAATAGCGGTAGCGGTAATTTTATTGATTTGAGACCCTTCGATGTTCCAGGAAAGTATTGAACCCTTGACATTCATTGTAGAACGGCTTAACGGGGTAAAATGCTGCATGAGGTTTGATGTCATAAAGTACTGTTTGTTTCAAGGGTAAGGATATAATTTTATCCCACAATATTAAATACAATGAATATATGGTCAGGTTCTGATGTTTTTCGTGCAGCTTAAGTTCTCAGGTTTTTTTTCTACTTTCTCGCTTTGCCCAGAATCGATGTATAGCTTGCGTAACCAATAAATATGGCAATGATGCGGACATAAAACACTTCCTAAAAGTTCCCCGCTGACTGATGTTGAAATATATACCTAGCAAAAGATTCGCGTTTGTTACGCGTATACTCGGTACGTTAGTATGTGTCGTAAATAAAAGTCTAAATCCGCGATAAATCGAGTTATCATGTAGGTCCCGGCTGCAACGCAGGCTATGGTAGCTAGTGCTGCATAACTTTTTGTCCGGGTATAATTACTTTGACTGAGTGGCATTCACGTCAAATGGAGCCAGTTATCAACTGTTATTAACATGGTTCGGGTTCTTATAGTTACACCTATTGTAGCTTCCCACGGTTTCGTCACGCGTTCCTGCCCCCCCGTGGGACAGGAACGCGTGACGAACCACAAAGAACGTCTGCGTGGTAGGCTAAGTTACACGTAGCGTTTAGCGGTATTAGCGGTTTTCTTGTGGCGTTACAGGGTTTCAACATGTTTAGCTTGGATCTAAAATGTTATTTTAACCCGCAAAGAAAAGCTGTCGTGTTCGAAAGTTGTTTTTGTCAGTTATTTTTTAACTGCTAACAAACAAGAAAGTGAAATATCAGCCTTTCTGTATATGGCAAAATGCCCAGGGGTATCTCGAGCTGAAAAATGCCCGATAAATACCCTCCTGGTAGGGGTGCACCCCTACCAGGAGGGTTGGACTGAGAATTGAGCGCCGTTTGTAAAAATATTATAAATGTTATAAATATACCTAGTGTAGAACTTTAACTGCTTGTAAATGCACTGTCTTTTAGATATGAGTGTGAAATACGAAATATGAAAAACCAGAACGTTTTCTCGACTTTTGCACGGCCAAAAAAATGTATCTGTTAGCCTAGCCTGAATGGCAGGCGCAAAAAGGGAAGGAGGATGGGGAAGGGAGAAAAGCGCGAAGGTGGGGAAAAGGAAAGGGAGCGCCGTCTCTTACCCTCTCTCTCCAATCGCCCTCCCTTTCCCCCTTCCTTCCTATCCCCTACCGCTTTCGACGCCTGCTACGCAGGCTACTGTCAGCTCTTTTGTAACCTGCAAATACAGCCGTTTCTTCTCGGTCGTTGCTGTTAGAGACGGTTCGCAGGTTTTCCTGGCCGGGAGGGGGAGGGAAAAGGGAAGATTAGATACGGTTGTAACGAGACTGGTACTATTAAATACTGGTTCCTCTTTCCGTTAATGTTTTGATTGTAGGATCGTTACGCTGACGCGAGAGTGCTTCCACCAGTGGATAAACAGCAAGATTATGAACTCACCGGATTTCAAGAAAGCGGCGGCAAAACTCTCCTTAAGTTTAAGAGAAAATTTGACACGTGTGACACCAGCGACAGAAAACTGGAGGTAATCTAGGGTTTTTATCCGTCTTTTTTCTGAATTATTACCTGAATTGTGGTTCTAAAAAATAACATTACAATACTTTTTGTGATGATCGTCGTGTTTAAAACGCAACTCCAATCAGATTCCGCGGCATATGTCACTCTGTAAACTGCGCCTTTCTTATACAATCTTATCTAATCACCTTCTTGGTTTTATTTAGGTTTTCTCGCCACTTATTGTACAGTATCTTTGTTTATTTGATTTTATCAAAGCGCTTATTCTTGTACTTTAGTGTGGCAAATTTGAATCGAAGGTTGAATTAAAAGTGGATTGCAGTTTCCCCTCAAAATGACGTCTGAAAAAAGAGCAGAGAAATTCTATACTGATGAGGCGTTATCACTCAGATGTGGGTAGTGCTTCTGATTGTTTTAAGAAAATTCCCCATGCGGCACGATCAATCAGAAACACTACCCAGATATAGGTAGTGACACGTAATCAGTATGGAATTTCTGCGCTCGTTTCTCAGAGGTCATTTCAAGGGAAAAACCTGCGCTAGCGTCGCGAAACGACGGCTGTTTTCTCAGGCTGATTAAAGGTATACATGAAGCTGTTGAAACGCTTGCCTAAAGATCCATTGTTGCATCATCGCATTTTTTGTTGCAGGTGGGAGCTACCAAGGTTGTGTTCGCGTATCATTCTGAAGACCCAGAGTCATCTACAGAGATCAAATACCATGAGTTCAGAGGAGCTAAAACCATCCTACTGCTGAACAGTTTAGACAAAAGAAACATCAGTGAGACTGGCTGGAAAAAATACACTATGACTACAAAGAATGTAAGGGAGAAAAACATTTCACGCGAACTCTTTTTCCAACATACCGTATTTATTCGAATAGGCGCCCAACCTCGAATTAGCGCCCACCTCGAATAAGCGCTCACCCCGAATAAGCGCCCATCCTAAAGGCGGAAAAAGTTAATAACCGCCCAGCCTCTAATAAGCGCCCACTCCCACCCCACACTACCTCCCGCCCACTCCCACTCAAACTCAAATAAGCCTTACCATTTACTGTTTTGTTGAAAAATGTACATACTACAGTTGTTGAAAAGGGCGAAAATTTTATAAGCGCCCACTCTCAAGGTCCAGAAATTGGCAAGGGCCCAGGGCGGTTAATCGAATAAATACAGTACATCTTGTTTTTTAAAAATGTATGAAATGGCTGCACAACCTGCCCCACCCCAGTGAAACAATATACGATGCCAGAGAATAAGGGGTCGCAGAAGAGAAGGATAAGGGTAGTTCAGTCTACAACCACTTCAATTATCATCTCAATTCCACGTTATTATTAGAACCAGCGAAAATTTCTCACTAAATACGTTTTTTTTTACACTAGATAAAAATCTAGTAGTTTTTATCCTCATCCACAACAGGAAATAATAGAGTCGGAATAATGATTGTAGATGAAAGATGCAAAAAAATTGATATTGTAAATGACAAGGCAGAAGTACGATACCGTGCTATTTGTTCAGCGCTTTTTGCGCTGTAAACTGTCGGCGATCTCATGGTTATTTGGAGTGAGTTGCCAAAAACAAGCAAAAACATAGAGCTGAGGCGATGAAAATTTTCATTACTTGCACCCTATGGAACCGCTGCATAAAGACTGACAAATTCCATAAAATTGGGGCTAAAATCAGATCGAAGTCGCACAAAAGCGCCAAAAAGTCCGTGTAACTGTGTTAACGAAGAAGTTTTTCTTTGCCTCGAGAGCAGAAGCCAGGTTTTTCGATACGGACTCAGCCAGGCGTACGAAATATAAGTAGCTACTGCTTGCAGGGTCAGTGTGCTCAGTGGCCTTCAAATTCCCTCGAGCGCGCGTGATCAAAAACAAATCCGCGGGGGCTTTATTGACCGCCAGCGCCGCTCTCGCTCTCGCTTGCTCGCCGATCTTTTCGAAAAGAACGAAGAGAAAAAAACGTCTGTGTACACGCAACGTCCTCAGGGAAATTTAAAGAAACTGGTCTGTTCTCAACCTAGGACTGCATAACATTTATCGAAGTTTTCTTTCTTTATTATTTCTTCTCCTATCAGTTTTCGTTGAATAGGACGTACTTCTTGATCAAGTTATCCGTTGTCATGCATCCATTAATTTTACCTCATGGGTTTTGGGAATGAAAAGGTTCTTCATTATGGGGAAGATATTTTAAACGGAAGATTAGTTTTAACACTATGCATCGCTATCCTAACCAATAACCTATACTTAAGCAATAGAAAACGTTTCTTGATATAAACACGAGAGGGGTTGGGAGGATTCTCAACAGTTATGCAAACCCTCGACTTCGTCTCGGGTTTGCATAACTGTCGAGAATTCTCCCAACCCCTAGAGTTTTTATATCAGGATATGCAAACACAGGAAAAAAGTTTTCTATTGCTTTTATAAAATAACTTTCCCGAGAAAAAAAGCAAAACTCGCTTGTTTAGAGCATTGATTAAAAGAGAAATTCTTAGCAGTCGCGACAGAGTCTTGTACACGAAGCTTGTACGCGTAATCAGTCTTTGTTTTGCAAAGAAGATACTTTCCAAAATACGGGTTTTTCTCGCTTAAAATGTCAGCTCAAGAAGCTTCAAGAGAGAAAAAATTGACACAGCATGTTTCTAAAGATTTTTCAAGTTTCGACCGACGAGGAAATGGGTAAATAAAATAAACTTGTCGAGTTTTCACCTCAAAACTTTTTCAAATTCGTGCTTGCGTGATTAGCTCGCGAAAAGCAAAACATCTTGATGTTATTATCGTATGTTTTGTGGAAACTTGTGCAAGAAAAATCAAAACAGCAGCATTCGCAATAAGCTTATAAAATGTTCCATAGGTGAATTACTCGTGAGTTAATTTTTAGTTATTCATCGAAAAACCTTCTCTCGATGTTGAAAACTCTTACGTGTATTCAAAGGAGGTGTATCGACCCGAATATTATCAAAATTCCAACAGTAGGAACTCAGGCTGTCAGCAAATCGAGTGAACATGAAAATAATCGCGCAAAACATTAAAAGAAGGTATTAATAACACGGGCGAATATAAAAACGAAATTTATTTTCTAGGCACGAATGGATAAACTTGACTGAAGAAAATAAAATTTAAAACGGATTGAATTTGTGGGTTTTAAAACAATTATTAGCCTAACAGTTTTTCAAAGTTTGTTTTTGTTGTTTGTAACGTTTAATACACTGGGAAACATATTTGATGGCCAAGAAGCTGTGATTTCGTCGTTTACAAATAATTTGTTCGAACGCGTTGTTTTCAAGAAAAAAATCGCGCAAGAAGATAAACTAACTGATCATACGTTTTCCTGCTAACTGTCTATTGTGTCACTAATTGATAATTCTTACTGCAATTTGTCTTGTCTATAGGTAACCATCCCTGCGAAAGAAACAACTTATTGGTGTGCTCTGCTGAAAGGTCCAGAATTAAATTCCAAACACCACATCACCAAGGTTGGTTAATAGGACGTGAGTCCTGATTTGTTGCAAGGTCTCAATGAAATCGCGAGGCAAAACTAAACGCTCCCGGTATATGATGTGTATAAACTTATATATTATATGAAACAAGGACATAGGACAATTAAGGGGCAACTAGGGGCCGATTTTATTTGACTTTTTAAAATCTTACCATTAGTCATATCTACATCCAATAGTCCATCATTGTAGTTTTTAGGGAGATTCCCTCAAACAAAATTCATCCTTGTTTGCCCATATAAAAAAAGTGAAGGACAAAGACAAACCACAGCCAGGGTAAGAAAAATCAACAGTATTATTCTCGTCGACACAAACTCACAGGCAGTCAAGAGCGTCGGAAATCCGAATTAGGCATTTCAGTACAGTTTTCGTTCTCTGTAGATCACCTTTTATCGATTTCAATTTTCAGTTTGAGCCTTACATACAGAAAGGAAACGAAGGATTCGTACATCATTTCCTGTTATATGAGTGCGAGGGTAACTTCGTCGAGAAAGATTTTGATAAAGGCGTCGACTGCGACGATCTTCCCAATATGGCCTATGCTAAGTGCAGGGACTCTAGTCTTGTAGCTGCCTGGGCTGTAGGAGGACAGGTATGACCTCTCTGTTCAATTAAGCCATAGCCAAACACGTCAAATGTCAACTGAAACCAGGTAATTTGAAATGAGATCGCCTGCAGGAATATTCCGTTATTTATCTTGAAGGACTGTGGGACATACGTCGAAAACAATATTGAATTAATTCTGACTAGTTCCATTATGACAATGACGGATCCAGGGAAGGGGCCCGGGGAGCCCGTCCCCTCCTCCATTTTTGGACCAAACTGAGGCCCAAAGGGCCGAAAAAATTTTTTTTAAGACTGCTCTCCCTTATCTCAGGGTCTGAATGACCCCTTCCCCCTTATCTGAAGGTCTGGATCTGCCACTGTATGATAATCTTAGTGAACTTCATCAATAGATTCAATGTAACTGGAGACACACAACTTTACAGCGGCAGTATTAGCTCAGTCGGTAGAGCGCTTAATTGCAAAGTGGGAGGTTGCGGTTACGATTCCCGGGACCGGATCAATACCCCGGGTCTTAAAATAACTAAGAAATGAAGGTACTGCTTTTGGCCTGCAAATGTCTAGACCTTCGCGTGGCTCGGAAGACCACGTAAAATGGTGGTCCCATAAAAATAGTGTCCGCAATTAGTACTTTCATTCTAAATGCATTGACACACATATAACTCGACTTCACACTTCACGCAGTGGTGAGTTAACTGACCGTTACGACTGTCAACAGAAGCCTAATCCGTATCAGGGATGAAATTGGGGATGCTTTTGAACGCTCCGTACATACTGACATAACTATAAATAACTATGTGAAGATGAAATAATCATGCTGAATATTTCAACTAATATATCATTAAATGAGTCAAATTAAAACTCTGCAGAAAAAATAAAAATAAAAATAAATAAAACTGAAGTAGTTGTACTATAGTTGAAATAACAAATTACTGTACGTGAAATAATTGTGTGTCATAATTGTTTAATATCGCCTTTTTCTTGTCTTGTCCCGCCTAGATTAGCATAATAGCTAAATTGGATGCGGAGTCTCCAATTTTGTGTAACTTAATCTTTTTGTTACTGAATAAATTGTGGTGTTGCTTATTGTTGATTCTTTTCCCTCCCCATTATATTTCAGGCTTTCTACTATCCCCCACATGCTGGTTTCCCGCTTGGAGAAAAAGATTCTCCAAGGAATTTTCTACTAGAAATGCACTATGATAACCCAGGAAACATCAAAGGTATGATAAGCTAGTGACTGGTATTAAAAAAAAAAAGAAGAAGAAGAAGAAAAAAAGCAAGAAATACAAAATAGAATAGACATAATATACAATCTTTGCTATTACACATTGATTTCTCTCTTACTGCGCCTTCTAAAACACGCAAATTCTGAAGTTCAAAAGCCGCCTTTACAATTGCTTTTACGCTGCCGTCAATCATGATTACTCTTCCCAAGCATTGAACCTTGAAACACAAATTCATACAAGATAGATTGAAATCCACCAATCACAATCACAAACCATGACTTTTTGAACCCATTAAAGTAAAGTTCTGTTTTCTAAGATGTCCGCTAAGATGATTGACGCCAGCGAAAAACGCAAACGTCAGTTGGCTTTTGAACTTCGGAATTCGCGTGTTTTTGAAAAGCGCAATAACCAGACACCGTTTGGCGGCACTTAATGCTCTAATTGTATGGCTATTCCGCGGGCGGGCAAAATAAAGTCGCACGTGGGGCAGGAAAATGGAGGAAGCCCTAAGAATGTCAGTGTGGGATGCTACAATTAAAGCAAATAAACGCTCTTATTGGCTACCTGAGCGTGCAAGATATACCTATATTTTCCGGGATTTCCAGCGTTGGTTACTCAACAAGGAAAGGTTTTCTCGATCATGTTATCAATCCGTTATTGGCCACGTTTGTTTAATAAAGGTGGCTGGATTATGGGCTCGAATCGTCTCAGTCCTTGAAAGCGAAAGCAAAGAAACAAAAACACCTAAGAAATCAAAAACAAAAATAACAGTTGAAAAAAACAAACAATAAAAACAACTAAAAACAACGTCAACAGCGAGTGCATAAAAAAACTAGATAAAGCATTCGGTATTGTGTTAATTACTGAGAGATTCGTCATTATACCAGCCTTTTTATCTTTTCAAAGTGTCAAAATGATAAAATTTGCCTCTACATATCGCGAAATGACATCAAAAAGGTAAATGACGTCGGGGCTATCAGTAAAAATTCAATAAAGGTAAGGATATGACGTGAATTTGAGTAGAATACTGATTCGCCCCATGTCTTATTACAAATATATAGTCTTAGATTCTGGATTCCACGCACTGGATTCCGGATCCTTGATCCTGCCTATTCTTAATTTCTTGTTAGTGGAACCGGATTTTAATCGTTAACAAAAAACAAATAAATAAATAAGAAATAAATGAAAATAAAATGAAAGAAGAAGAAGAAGAAGACTTAGGGATCCGGATACACCTACCCTTGGCGAACACAAAACGTAGAAATTATGCTGACGTACACACCGAAGAACTATGAAACAGCACGCCTGTCTTTCATTATTTCAGGTCAAGAGGATAGCTCTGGTGTTACACTTTACTACACCGATGAGCTTCGTGAGTACGACAGTGGAATTGTCAGCGTGGGTAGGAAGGTAGATGAGTGGTTTATTATCCCACCTAAACAGAAGAACTGGATGACTATCGGTTACTGTACCCATGAATGTAGTGAGGTAAATTAGAAGAGAATTATATAATTATACTGTTATGGCAATACAACTGTAAAATATGAAAGGAAATTTTATAATAACCAATGAGCAAAATAACTTAAAGAATTGCCTTTTTGCTTCGGGTAATTTAATTTTTAGACCCCACTTTGTTTTTGTTATCTTTTCATATAACGTTTGGGTTCTATTTTATCTTTCGTGAGAATTTTATTTTAGTCATGGAAAGTTCGTTTACGTCTGTTTTACTTAACAATTAATGAATGAGGCTGAGTATCTTATGAAGAATTATGGAGATCGAGGAGGGTGTTATACGGCCTCGATAACACCCTCCGAGATCTCCATAATTCTTCATATGATACGTAAGCCGAATTCAATAACTGTTTTATTATTCATTCAAAACAAGAGAGGATAAAGGGGTCAGAGAAGGCATCCCCCATACACATCCTATTCATTGCTAAAAATCGCTAATAACCAACCAGAACTAACGGCATACACCGTAGGTGAAGGAGTTCTAACTAGTGTCGTTCATCTTCAGTCCACTCTTAAATCAACAAACTTACCAGGAGGAGGAATCAACGTATTTGCTGGTTTACTGCACACCCACTTGGCAGGTAAGTAATACAATAGAAAATTTATTCTTCTGTAACTGTACTCACCCGCATGTTCCTTGTTACCCGCGGAATTAGCTCTATTAGCCCGGTTTAGGGTGCCAGTCTGCAGATTTTTGTACTGGTTTAAACGTACAACGTAGATATTTAGCACAAACACATTTAACAAAAAGGCCTTTGCGCCTTCTGACGCAAAGAGGTACAAAGATATGATGACCAAATTTAACGTAAAGAAGCGATCCCTGTATTGTCATCCTGATGTAACTCTTTCTACGATGCAGCGACGCTAGTATAAGAGAGAAACTGAGAAAAAACAACAACAACAACAACAAACAAATAACAAACAAACAAAACACGATGCCTTCAATGTTTCTTCATATGGAGTACAGCATTTATGCAGAACCAAAACTTGAACTATTTTGGTATTTTCCAAGGGAGGGAATGAGACATGAGCTTTAGTTTTGTCTGACGATAGGCTGACCTTTTTTGCTTTGTTTTGCGTTAATCGTTTTGGTTTTGCTTGTACCTTTTATGGTAGGTCGTGCTATCTGGACCAAACATGTTCGAAACGGGAAAGAACTCCCTGAGATTGGACGGGATAACAATTACGACTTCAATTTTCAGGTTTGATTATGTTCGTTTAAGATATAAAAGCCTTTGTTTTATGCAGTGAAACATGTTATCTTTACTTCTTCCAAAGAGCGTTAAGATATGCTTATAGTAATGGATTTGCTGATCTTACACTTTGCTTTACAGGACATACAAGTTTTTAGAAAGGAAATCAATATTCAGCCGGTGAGCAATAGTAGTTTTGGGTACTCTTCTATTTGATCATTGTCTTAAACTATGTTGTTACATTATGAGTGCCCTCTATGCTTAATTTCTGATGCTCTAATCCTCCGATTTTCCTTCCCAAGTTTTACGGAAATATACGCGGAGTCATTTCCGTCGCAGAGGTTGCTAAGTCTATCAGCGGCGTTTTTGAAATCAGGAAAATTGAATTTCAGTCATTTTCTTTCGGAAAAAGGATTATAACATACCAAAATTTACCATGGGTAGCTGGCTGGATTAGCGGGGGAATGCTGTAGCACTTTGGTGGCGTTGCCACGAGTAGATTCCGCCAATAGGCACCGCCACCAAAAAGGCACCCCGGGCAAAACAATCCCACCAACAGCGCATGCAGGCTAATAGAGAGGAGAGTGTGACGTAACGTTACCATGGTGGCACTATTTCTGGATGACAACAAAACTGACGACGACGACGACGGCAAGGAGAACAGCAAAAAGTAATATGTTTATATATTAACAAACAACAACTTAATTTGCACGTGCATCACGCTATTTTGTACATTTCTTTGCCGTTGTTGCACCACTACGACATGAAACTTCCTAATTTCACGAGCCCGCTTTATAGAGAGTAGGTGAACACAACACAAAAATTATCGCTTTCCTTTTCGAAACTTAGATTACAATAGATACGTTCCCAAAGAAAATTTCGCCAAGATTTGCCAAATTAAATGAAATTGAACAAGATCGGTCAAGTTTGAACTAGTGCGAATAGACTTTTAGGTGACTTTATCGGTTTGTTGTTATCCATAAATTTTGCTACTATGGCAACGTGACGTAACGACTTCTCCTCTCTATAGTTATGAAAAGCAACGTGCGTTTAATTGGTGATTTTTTCGATTTATTTTGTCCCCGTAAGTAACTACAGTGTGTGGTCCCCTGATCAGGCCGGTTTTACCTTGTGATGAAATTGTCGGGAAGAAAATAAGATGACAATACAAAATAACGAAACTGTCCGAGTGTTTATTGATCTGTGTGCCGTCTAATAAGCTCAATTGGAGGTCTTCCTGGTGCTAGGTGAATTTTGTTCTGTAATTTTTGTCTTTTTTATGGCGCTTCAAACTGCTTGGATACATTTTGAATTCACACATATGCGATTAAGTGCGGTAAGAAAGCTAATTTTTGGTGTACATGGTGTACAATAAATGTTCTTTTGAATTGCAAACAAAATTAGGTGGACAGGTTGAATTTTAAAACTTAAGTTTAAGATAATATTCCAAAGTAAAATTTGTTTACAAGGCCCTTGGTCCGGCCACCGAACGTGGATAACATAAACCAGCCAAATAGTTATTGAAGAGGGAAAGCCGCAGAAAGTTCAGTTTTCGGTTCGTTTAGTCCTTAGTAAATTAAGATTTATGAATTGAAGTGAGGATCTTTCAACTTTTAGGTACGTTTTAAGTAAAGCACTTTTAACGAGTGGAGTAAATGATAAAAAACGCAGACATGGTTCAAGTTAAATATATTGCTCGAGACTTTCCCAATAGCACTGCACTTTATTAATTGAGTAATGATCAAGAAGGCCATAAAAAGGAAGCTTATAATTATCCGATTGGTTTCATGAGGGAGCTTTAGCAAAGTCAAAAAATCACTGAAGCAATGGGGTTTTAACAAGCAAAACATTACCCTGCACGGACTGCACGTGCATGATGACGCACGCTTTTCGGTCGGATTTCTTTGCCGTTGCTCCCCAAGATTTCCTGATGGGAACGGGTTTTTTTGACAAGCGACGACTAATTAAAGTTTTCTTTCCCTGTAAACTTCGATTGAATTCATTTAAAATAGTGGCAATTTCGCTGCCGTCGCATCGAAACTGCACGACAAACTTTCGTACAGAAGCAAAACTAATATATAGAATTAGCCAGGGCTAAAAGGGAAGCTCTTGAAAATATTTATAGTTTGTTCAAAGAAAATATAAAAGCGGCGAAGGCATGCAACGCCGGAAAACGGTGAAAAACAACAATAGGTCTAATTAGCAAAAGCAACTTTGCATGTGCAGCACACTTTTCTTGTACATTTCCCTGCTGTTGTTTTGCATGACTACATAGTGATACTTTCAGAAACTTCTTAGTTACACGTTTTATAGAGGGAATGTTGTACGTGTTCCCGTTCACTTTTTTTTCACTGCAGCTCATTTTCAACTTGCATTGGTGGCCGCTAGCATTTCTCATTCTGTCACCGCCGCTACAAAATTTTCAAGTTGTTCTTCCAACAAAAAATGTCTCCTTCCGTTTTTTATCTCTCGCTCTATTTCCCTGTCGCCCTTTTTCTCGTTGAGCTTCGCTGGCCTGCCGCCCACTTTCTCTTTTTCTGTCTTTCTCTTGCTCTATATTCCAAATTTGCGGACATGACAATTTATCTAAGTTTAATACTTTAGACAACACGGATACAGAAACAATTTCCGCTTTCCTTTTTCGTCTTTATTGACTCTTTTGTTGTCTTTGCTTTACAAGACGCCGGTGGCTATGCGATTTCCCGCCAAAATAATCTCGAGTTGCATTTGGGTTGCCATACCTGTTGATTGAGTTATTTTACATTGGTATGCTTGTGGTGCGGACGGTCGGTCGGTCGGTCGGTCGGTCGGTGTACGGTCACGTGATTACCAAATTTTCTCTGATGGGTAGATTACTTCATTTTCTTACCCATGGTGCTCCGCTGGCGCGCGAAGGAGAGCTCCGCTATTAATTCTTCATGAGGCCAAACTAAGCCCTTAAAACAGAAATCTTATTTTGGTTTCGAAGTTAAAATGATGCCTATAGGTAATATACAGGAATTTAGTTCAGTTGGCGCTTCGTGTTTCAAAGTGGCAGGACCAAGGAACCATTGGTCGGACCAGGGACCTTCAAACGGAGCAGTCATTTTCTATGATGCAGGATTTTCGGCAAAGCTTAGAGGCTGTCGGTTTGTCACAAGTTATAATAAAATGTTACGGCAACGAACAGGACAAATTTCAGCTCACCGCTCCTCTTCTAAAATAAAAAAAATACTCATTTACGTCTTTTTCGTCCGGACCAAGGACCACGTACTGTATTGTTAGGTCGTTGTTAGGCATAACGCGTCAATTCATTTGCGAATAAAGTCCGACTGATTTTGAAAAAAAGTTTTCGAATATTCTATATATCCTAACATTGCTAGCATAGGGTCTGTATGGGGGATTAACTCTCTTAGCCCCTTTACCCTCTCTTGTAGCATGTCATATACAATGGCTGCAGCAAAATTAGGGTGAGATGAATACGACTAATTCAGAGGAAATTTTAGTTTACAGATGGAGTGTATAAACCTTTCCCTTTTTTAATACACTATATCCCGTGATTGATTGATCATTTTCTGTAATGTATAACAGACTGTTTATGGCTGATGTCAAAAATTTTCCTTCTTTTTGACCAAAGCGCGCACAGAGGTGAAGGTTTTACTCTGTTAGTTCTGACTGAGTTAATGAAGGCTTTGAATAGTCAAAGGGTAACTAGGTAGGTGCAGGAATAAGAGACGAAAATATCTTTTGGCGGTTTGAAAAAATACCTAAACTGGACCGAATAGGACTTCGAAAAGTCTAACCGCGCGTCAAGGCTTGTTTTTGACGGTGCATGGACTAGCCTACGCTGGAAGTTTAATTGCATGTTAAACTACGATGGCTAGCAAATCTATCGAACATAAACTTAATTAGGAAAGTACAGTAAGCTGTTTACCAGCTTTTATAAAAGAGTAGCGCCCTTAGGCTTAGTTTATTTGTCCTGGGTGTAAGTGTCACCCGCCTACCGGCCAAGCTACCCTGGGCAAGTCTTCTTTTCATTTCCTCACAAAATGTGGCAAACCGTTTAGAATACATGAAAAGAAAAAAAAAACGTTGGCTCGGCTTGGAGGTTGACGCGCCTACCTTATTTGCATATAATTTCGCGATTTTAGTGAAAAATTATTTCGCGGGGTTTTACTTTCGCGATTTCAACAGCCAAATGTGAAAAAAGAGCATTAAATTTCGCGATTTCGCGTTCTCGACGTCATTTTAAGTCTGAACTTTTAAGCAATTTCCATATAAACTGGAACAAGCAATGTGGAAAATCTTTGCAAATTAAGTAAACGTTATTTTAAAAAAAATCGAGCGTGGCAGTAAAACCAGTAAACAATTTGTGTATTTTTCGATACGTATCTTGTATATGATATTACTATGTTAATAATTTTTTCGGTGTTTTTTTCAATTTTCTACATGGGAATTAAATTTTGTGTGCTTTAATTTCGCGAGGATCTATTTTCGCTGGTCTTTAATCTCACGAATTTATTACAATCGCAAAAACGCGAAATTAAAAGGCCAGCGAAACTAAGTACCAATAAGCAAGGTATTCAGTTTCTTTTTTATGATTGCATTCTAATAGTTTTTTACTTGTTTCTAGGGAGATGACTTAATCCATTACTGCAAGTACGATTCAGTGGATCGCAATAAACTAATCTATGTAAGTCTTACATGCCATGTTATGTGTATGTCTTACTTAACATATTTCGCTTGGGAAGAAACAACCACCCAGTGCCATTCTAATGATATTTCCATGTAGTCTAAGGGCGCTTTCCAAAAGTCAGAACTGGCCGGCCAGACCATGGCTGGAGCAGCATTTTTACAATGAAATAGGCTTTTCCCAACAGTTTTTGCTGAAAAACCATCTCCTTCGTGCATAGTTTTTAGGATTTGACGGATCTGGTTGGATAGTTTTGATTAAAAGTAAAATTTTCATTACTACGGGAATGCTCTGGCCGGTCAGTTCGGACAAATGGAAAGCGCCCTAAGATAGCAACGACGACGAAAAAGTGCTGCTTGACATTAAGGGGGCCTCGTCACGGCTGTTAAGTTAATTTTGTTAATAATGCAACTACGGGGCTTTGTGCTCTATGGAACCTGGGTAATTATACAACGGCTCTTCTGTATTCTGATAAGCTGTATTTTCTAAGGCTTGGTATAAAAAAGGAGATACGGACGGAAAATAATGGTTTTTGAAAACTTGTTGGTCTAACTAGTTTTTCAAAGTTCATTTCTGTCGTTTGTAACGTGTGATATAGTTCGACATAACGCTTAGAAGACAATTTGCTTTGATGACACGAAGCTGGAATTTTGTCATTCACATTCGACGGTCAGTTACACTCAATCTTCCCATCGTGTGCTGCGATCTTAATCCCGCCAACATTTTGTAAGCGGCGACATTTCTAGTTTATTTCAAGTGTTGTTTGAGCCGTTATTATATCTATCACTCGCATGAGTCACTTTATTCTATCCCCGGTTTATTATTTTTCCTTTATCCAGGGTGGAATTTCAAGTAGAGATGAGATGTGCTTAAACTTCATGTTCTATTACCCACGTATAACAAACGGCGGCTTCAGAAAGTGTCAGAGTATCCATTTTGATTCTTCTTATCAATTCATCGATAAGTATTTGTAAGTATTACATTTTTTCAGCCAAGTTGTGTTCATTTTATACAGGAACATTTCTGCACCCCATTTAAGGGGGCTTATATATACGAAGTGACAGCAACGGCGACAGCAGGACTATGACTTAAATTTTCCTGATGGAAACAAGCAAAACAACAACTATTCACCTACACCTCAATTTCCTTGAATGTAATGTTTTTGTAGTTTTCCGCTTTTTTACGACATGATTTTTTCTAATGGGGCATTGTATAAATTAAGAAAAAAAAACAAAAAACAAAAACAAAACGACGAGGCGGCCATCTTTTTCTTCTGTATTTGGGTACCGTCCAGTTCTGGAGATTTTGCCTAAAGTTGAGAAATTCAGCAAGTTGGAATGAAAGCAGTGACGTTTTCTGATTATGGGATCGGATTAACGTTTTAAGAGAATCTGATGTTTTCGCGTCCGTCTCCGCCCCTAATAAGAATAGAAGAGGATTTAAACTGCTTAGAAAATTAACAATTTTTTTTAATGGTGGATGCGTTTGTGAAAACTGATTTTTTTCCCAGATACAAGTTTAGGTCCAAATTGGTGTTTTCTGCCAATCTTGGACGTTAAATGCGTTCCGATCAGTGCGTGTCTGTGTTTTTTTGGTTTTTTAGTCATCTTAGTTTGTGTAAGCTTTGTGTCAGATTGTTCGATCGTTCATGGCTATGCTTCATGACCTCTGGTTAAGATAATTGTCATGAAAAGGATATAATGCTCAGACTTCGTTTTACAAACTTGGCAGGAGCGAGACATGTATAGGATCTTGAAGAAGGCAATAAATAGATGGGTTTTTCAGGGTCTACGCGCGAAATGTCGAAACTTAAATAATCATAAAACATTCTCAAACCTATTATGAATTTTACAATGGCCTATTTTTTTGTGTGGATTGTAATATTTCATTACAACGATTTCAAGTCGCTCGTTCTTGAGAATGTGTTAGGAAGTTGAATAAAAAGGGAGGGTGGGGGTTAGGTCACCGTGCGCATTTCATTGCAACAACTGACGACAAAGGTTGAATGATCATTTTACGCGAAGGGACTGGGACAAGATTCGAGACCAGCACCTTTTATAAACGGAAGATTTTATCATTGTCATTCTTGAACTATAATAGTGGCTAGTGTTTCCTCTTTTCGCTTTGATGTGAAAATGCGTTTTATTTGCATGAGAATAAAAAATGAAATATCTTTTTCATATTTACTGGCTTCGAACTTACCCTCGCTTTAACACAGAGGTATGGGGCAACTCGGCGATGGCCTATATATCTTTAGTGGTATATTATTATTTATTATATAGACACGAGTGTTTTACTGGAAAATATACCACTCGTAAAATTCATAAAAACTACATCCGGGACCCGAGTGGTTTATTTTCCATAATCTCACACGTGAGTTTATCGATGACGTAATTTCGGTCATTTCCCTCTATCATTTTATCGATGTGTTTTTGTCTATATAATAAAAAGAACATTACACGGCGGATTGAAGATATGAATTTTATTTTCTCGTTTTGCCACTCGAAAATAAAATTCATATCTTCGCGCCACCGTGTAATATCCTCTGTATATTTTTCCTCATCTTCTTTTCGTTTTAAAGTGACAAGGCGAACGTCACCTCATGGATGTACAATCCTCTTGTCAATATGACCATTGATTGGACTGATGAAATGGCCTCTGACTTTAAAAAGTACGAAAGTGAAGTGAAAAACGTTTTCCCTAGATGTCGCCTTTCCAAGGATACGACAGTGGAGGTAAATTTAATATACATTGATAAAATGTTCAAGTCTTGTCATGATCATGCAGTAATTGGCAGTTACCGGTAGGAAAAATAGCCCCCCTGGGAACGGCTTTATTAGTGTAAAAGTTACCGTATCTGTTCTCGCAAGCGCCACACTACATAGGTTGGAATTAATTAACGAATATCTTCAGTTTGCAAATAATTTTTTTTTGAATTTTTTTTTTTTGACCTTTGATTCTTCATTTATTGTTTTTACCATTAAGTGTGTGCGGTTTTAGATTTTTCCATGGGTAAAATAGTTATAAAATAATGGACAGGCAAAAACGAAAGGTAAAATTCCGACTATCACAAAGTGCCCTTGTCAATAAAACTGATAAAAGCGGAGACTGTTCGTAGACTGCAAAGAAATTATGGTAATGTTGGTCCATTGACACATCAGAAAATTCGGTTTTAAATCGCCAGTAAGGAACCAAACCCTGGCATTGCTTATTGTGCCACCTATTTTTACTTTGAAAGATGATTAACGTACAATTTACACAGGTCGAGAAAATCTTCTGACTCCCGTGCCGTCAATAGGTCTCAATAGTGCTTTTAACAACTACAAATCTCTCTCTTTCTTCTTCTTGTCGCTGATTTTAATCATTTTTCTCCACGTTTTTAAAACAGCTTTATTTTATTTCATTTTTTAATCATAACTTTTTTTATTCAATAATTTATACGTTTTTTTTTTCCTTCTTCTTCTTCTTACCAGGACACGAAGAATCCCAAATTGCTGGTACCAGTACCAACGATCACTAATCCCCTCCCTCCTAAGAAGCCAAATTGTCGCGAGGAACCAGTTGATAGTGCCGCAAGTGAGCGCCTCCTTGCTTCAACGTTTGCACTCTTCTTCGGGAGTTTGTGCGTTGTTGCGGCTGCCATTGTCTAA